GGCGCCCGCCACAATGCCCAGCTATTTAACCTGCCAGCTCAGGTGTATGTGGCTGGCGCCTTAGCAGCTTGAGCCACAGGCGCTGAGCTCATTTCTTCTCTTACAGGGATATTAGCCTTTGAATTTAGCACCACCCTATTCCAGTGTGACCTCATCTCAACCTAATGACATCTGCAAAGGCCTTTTCCTATATGAGACCTCATTCTGAGATTCTGGGTAGATGTGAACTTCTGGGGGGATATGTTGACCAAGGACATCCCCAGTGATGAAATTCTCCCACAAGTCCTTCTGAATCGCTATGCCCAGCGTACTTAGCTGCCCACTTTGCAGCTAAGAAAATCAAGGGGCATGCAACAAGGATTTATTAAGCAACTACTGTGTGCTTGGCCAGATTTGAGACACTGGGAACAAAAGAGACAAAACCCCAGGCAAGTTTTTTTTGTTTTAATTTTTTTCTCCCAGGCAAGTTTATAAGGCCATGGACTCGGGTGATGGAAACAATCTTTGAGAGGCTGGAGATGCAGGTACCTGGGGCAGGGGTCAGACAGATAAGGCCTGGTGTGTGACCATGTGTATGTGTGCACACGTGCCTGAGTGTGTGTGTGTGTGTGTGTGTACGTGTGTGCCCACCTGAACCCATCGGGCCCAGCCAGCCAGGTCTACCTATAGGCCCCACGCCCCTCAGGCGGCTGAAGGGGAAATAGGCCTCCCTGGCCACCATAAATCAGTGCAGGAATGCAGGCCGGCCAGTCTGGTGCTGGCCAGGGTGGGGCAGGGACAAAGGCCTGGCAGCTCATTGTCTGTCCACCCCGACCACCCAGGGCAGAGGTCCAGGCTCCAGGCTACCCTGGCCCCTTTCCAGAAACCCTCACTTTGTCTCCATTATACAGATAGGGTAACTGAGGCCCAGAGAGGGGCCAGGTGGTTGAATGATGACTGGGCCATCAACCCACCTCCCCAGCACCCGGGGGTGTCCCTAATGGCAGGAGCTGGGCATTGGTCTTATTCTTGGGCAATAATGTTGGATCATCCCAGCTGAACCTAATTGGTGGTTTCAAGCGCCCCCCACTGTCTAGCTGGTGCATTCCCCAGAGCTTAATTCTAAAGCCTGGTATTTGTTTCTGCCCCTCCTCAGCAAATTGTCACCCCCTCCCCCACCGGACTCTGCTGGCTAATTATCTGTGCAGGCAGCCCCCACGCTGAATGCCCCCGCCCATTCACCCAAACTTCTGAGCTGGGCACACCACAGGACACCTAGAAAGAGGCCTTCTGTTAATGTCATCCTGGGGAATTAAGGTCTTATTCCTCCCTGACCATAACCCCAGGAGGCAGAGACTGAGACCCCCAGGCCCAGGTCCTGGTGGGAGTTGGTGGGAACAGCAAGTGCAGAGCTCAGATGGACTCCTGGGCCAAGAGTCCCCCATGGTGTCAGGCTCTGGTCTCACACCTGCCACTGTGCCTCAGTTTCCTCATCTGCCAAATGGAGCCATTCCTTGGGAGCAAATGGCCTGTATAAGACTCTCAGGACAGCTCTGGGAGCCATTGTGGCAATTATTTGCTGCATAAGCTTGGGTAGATGCTGCTGTGGGGTGAAGTATAGCCCCTGGAAGAGACATGTTGATCCTGATACCCATGCAGTGGGGAGCTTATCTGGATACTTAATAGATGTATAGCCATGTGCTAAACTAACATTTTGCTTAAGGATGTGCTATATGTTTAGATGTGTTTTTATTCGTTTTTTCTTTTGTTGTTGTTTTTTATTGAGACAGAGTTTCATTTTGTCTCCTTCAATAAACTGCCATGGCATCATAGCTGACAGCAACCTCAAACTCCTGGGCTTAAGTAATCCTCTTGCCTCAGCCTCTGGAGTAGCTCTAACTACAGGTGCCTACCACGTTGCTTGGCTATTTTTAGAGATGGGGGTCTCTCTCTTGCTCAGGCTGTCTCAAACTCATGAGCTCAGGTGATCCACCAGCCTTGGCCTCCCAGAATGCTATGATTACAGGCATAAGCCACTATGCCTGGCTTGTTTAGATGTATATATAGACATAAATATATCTATAAACAGAACCTTCATGTTCTGCCTGTCCACAATGTTAAATATGGGAATGCAGCATGTATCCTGCTGTCCCAGGCTGTTTGAGCACACTCTGTGATGTCCCCACAACAAAATTGCCTGATGATATATTTCTCACAACACAGCCCTGTCATTAAATGATGCATGGCTATAGTGAATTCAGGATTGAGACAGGGCAAGGTAGCCTTCAATCACATAGGCTGGCATCCTCAGGAGAGACAGAGACACAGAGGAGCCAGCATGTGGAGACAGTCAAGAGGCTGGATCAATGTGACTATAAGCCATGGATGTTTAGGGGCCCCAGAGCTGAGAGAGGAGGTGGGAGGACCCTCCCTGGAACCCTAAGAAGGAGCACGGCTTGGCAGACCCCTGGATCTTAGACTTCTGGCCTCCAGGACTATGGAAGGACAACTGGCTATTGTTTTGAGCCACCCAGTTTGTGGTACTTTGTTGGGCTGGCCCAGGAGGCCTCTGTACATACTTTCTGTCTTGGGTCTCTGGGAACATTCCAGGGGTAAGGAACATGCCTCCTTGGGGCCACATCTGGCTTATGGATCCTTGAGTGCAGCTTTTCCACTGAATCTATATTTTACAGAACAAATTCTTTTACATAGTAATAAAGGAATCTGTTCTGTGAAGTTTGGATTCCATTGAAGGGCTGCACTTGGCAGGGCCTGGACCCTAGAACTCTTGTTCCTTTCCCTGCTAGCAGCCCCCTTCTCCTGGCCCCCCATTTGGTGGATAGGGAGACATAATTCCCATGCCTGAGCTCTGGTACCAGCTAGCCTGTCCTTTCTCTGTCTCCATAGCTCTACGAACTTGATGGGGACCCCAAAAGGAAAGAATTCCTGGATGACCTATTCAGCTTCATGCAGAAGCGAGGTAAGGTCCCCCCTACCCTATCAAGAGTTCACAAGAAATGAGGAGAGGCCCTTTTGGCCATAGGTGTGTTGGGGCAGCAGTCAGTTTCCCATGGCTAGAGGTTTCTTAAGGCTCCAGAGCTGGGCAGAGCTTCAGAAATGTCTCAGGGACAGCAGACACTCTGCTACAGGGGCTCAATGGGAGAGGCACAGCTGTGAGTCTGTGGGGTCCCTTGGCCCAAAGCTGACAGGACAGTTTCCCTCCTAGAGACCTGGGGTGTAATGAGAGGGTATCTGCTACCTGGACCCCCCCCCCCCAACACACACACAGCAGGCCAGCCTCTGTGTTTGGGCAATAGGTCAGATCCCAGGTCAGGGCAGGGGGTGGATGGAATCCTTCTCTGGGCCTCAGATTTAAGGTTAAGTCCTGGCCTCTCTTTCGCTCCCGCCAGAGGCCTCAGTTTCCCCATCTGTAAGATGAACTACACACAGTCCCTGCCATGTGGCAGTATCCCCAAAACTCAGCAGCAAACAGGCACCCTGAACCTGCCAAGGCAGGGCTGCTGGGTTATCATGCATGTATTTTGAACACTAACAGTGTACCAGCCAAGCCATCCCCTAGATCTTTGCCAAGGTAGACCCTGGACACAGCCCCCTTCCCCCTAAGGAAGTATCCCATGTCTGTGGCCAGAGGACCAGACTGAGGGGAGGTCTGGGCAGCAGCCAGGTACGAAAATTGAGGTCCAGGCTCGGCGCCTGTGGCTCAAGTGGCTAAGGCGCCAGTCACATACACCTAAGGTGGCGGGTTCGAATCCAGCCCGGGCCGCCAAACAACAATGACGGTGCAACCAAAAAGAAATAGCCAGGCGTTATGGCGAGCACCTGTGGTCCCAGCTACTTGGGAGGCTGAGGCAGGAGACTCACTTGAGCCCAAGAGTTGGAGGTTGCTGTGAGATGTGGTGCCATACTACTCTGCCCAGGGGGATAGCTTGAGGCTCTGTCTCAAAAAAAAAGAAAAAAGAAAAAAGAAAATTGAGGTCCAGACACTGAAGTCTTAGGATAAGCCAGGCTCAGAAAAAAGCTTGGCGCTGATAGGACTAGCCGTAGCATGGTAGACACTGCCGTAATAGGACTTGCCGTAAGAGCCCCCCTCAGGTCCCCCAAGTCTTCCTTAGCCACACAGGGTCCCAGGAGCACCTGCTCCAACCCCTGGGTAATCTAGGGGGATGTGCAGTTGTAGTCCCCCTTTTCAGGGAAGGAACCTGAGGCCTGGAGCAGGAGCGAGACCTTGTAGCCTACAGAACCAGGAAGGGGTGGAGCAGAGGGTGACGTCCCCCCCATCCCCTTGCTGGGCCCTCTCAGGGGCCGCCCAGCTGCGTGCTTTGTCCAAGCAGCTTCTCCTTTGGCTTCTGTAAACATAGGCCCCAGCCCTGCCATGGGAAGGGAGGGAGGTGAGGGGAGCCCCCCTCTCCAGACACCCACTGCTCAGGGGCCTGAATTAACCTCTCCCATGCCAGTCCCCACAGGGGCCTCCTGTGTTATCCTCCAAGCCCAGCCCTGGCTGGGGCCTGTGGTCCCTTATGAGGCTGCAGAGATCTTCGCCCACTTGCTTTATCACCTTGTCCACACCTGTGCACCCTTTGGTTCCACTGAGCTCCCAGGCCCAGAACCAACCTGTTTTGCTGGGTCCTCAGTACCCAGCATGGGACCTGGTGTCCTGGGGGCACTTCAGGAGGCCCTGGGTAAGTACAGGTAAGGCTAGGGGCCCAGTTGCCTCAGTCCAGCCCTGCCCCTGCATTCCTGGAGGGCAGACATTGACAAACTCCTATACATCCCTCAAAACCCAGCCTCAAGGACCCCTCTTCTCTGCTGCCTTCCTGAACTCTCCTCCTCTGTAATCAAGGACTACTGAGGCTAAGAGTCTACCATACCTCCCTCCCACTTCACCCTAAATACCACCTTCTATGTTCCATGAGTACCTTCTCTACTCTAGTAAGAGGGAAAGTAGTTTTTTTTTCCTGTGTCTTTAAGTAAAACCTTTGAACTAAATTTCTCTAAGGGCAGAGAACAAGGAAGGATCCTATTAGTGCTTCCTCTCTGCTGTGGCAGCGACTACCTGACTCCGCTGTTCCAGTGATGACCTCCTCATTCTTCCTTATCAGGGACACTGGGCTAGGCCTTCCATAGTGCTCCCAGCTCCTTTCATAAACATCCTCCTCCTAGGGCGGCACCCGTGGCTCAGTGGGTAGGGCACCAGCCCCATATGCCAAGGGTGACAGGTTCGAACCCAGCCCCAGCCAGACTGCAGCAAAAAATAGCCAGACATCGTGGCAGGTGCCTGTAGTCCCAGCTACTTGGGAGGCTGAGGCAGGAGAATCGCCTAAGCCCAGGAGTTGGAGGTTGCTGTGAGATGTGATGCTACAGCACTCTACTGAGGAGGATAAAGTGAGACTGTCTCTAAAAAAAAAAAAAATTGGGCAGCACCTGTGGCTCAAAGGAGTAGGGTGCTGGCCCCACATGCTGGAGGTGGCGGGTTCAAACCCAGCCCCAGCCAAAAAAAGAAAAAAAATCCTTCTCCTGCCAGCCACAGAACGAGAGCCCAGAGCAGATTTCCTTGTACTTTTCCCAACACTGAGGCCTGTGCTGGTATCCTGGGTGGGGAAGGGCCTATGCTGGTATCCTGGGTGGGGAAGGGAAGAAGGTTCTGGGCATTTTCAGGCCTGTTTGTACACCTGAGACCTGGTGTGGCTTCTCTTTCTCTCTGGTTGAAATAATGGGATTTGGGGTAGGGTGGAGTGTCTAAGGTCTGTTTTCCTCCACCCTCCAGGTCTCCTCATTTCATTTGGGGTTTTCCAACTTAGGAAGGGCCTGGAAGTAACCAAGTATGGCAGAAGGTAGTTCTGGAATGTCAAGGGTTGGGCGTCCCACAAAATAGGCCGGTGGCCCCTCACCCAAAATTGGAGCATCAGTTTCACCATCTCTGAAGGAGCCTAGTGGTCAGAAGCTCTGACTTGGGATGAGAGCTCATCTGTTTTTACTATTGATTCTTTAGCACATACTGTATGCCAGGCTGGGTGCTAAAGACCCCTTATAAGGGGATGGAGGCCACAGACAACTTCATAAGTGCAAAATTTCACATCCAGGAAAGGGGTTTTAGTGGATGCTTGCCCTCCCTTGGGCCAGGATGGCACCAGGCAAGACTGAGCTGGCATCTTAAGGCTGGAGGCTTCTCTACAAGGGGTCAGCGTGTGAAAGGCTAGAGGGAGACAGGGCTTTGAGGGAGGTGTGCTGCAGCAGGCTTCAGGGAGATGAAGTTGGAGAGATATAAGTTAGCTCACCATCCTCTTCTCCTGGGCTAGCCCACACCTTCCCCTTCCCGGGCTAGCCCCACACCTTCTCCTCCTGAGTTAGCTCACTTCTCCCCTTCCCAGACTAACCCACCACCCTCCCCTCCCTGGTATATCCCACCCCCTTTCATTCCCTAAACTACAAATTGAGTTAACTAAGCCCTACCCAACCCCTGCCCATGACTGCAAAAGCTCTGGGAACCTGGAGGAAACAGGCCTCTCTGGGAAGCCTGCAGAGTTGTTTTGGTTAGCTGTTGGGGTTGATGACATGCACAAGGAATAATAAAAGGCCCAAGCATCCTCAGGTTGGCCCACAGTATTTCCTCTTCTCTACGGACTGCCTCCCCGTGCTATAAGATCTACACAGCTTACTGATAGAGAAACTGAGGTAGAGCTGCCATCTTAGTGCTCTGTTGAGCAGCAGTTCTCACCCTGGGCAATGCTTCTTCTGGGGACACTAGTGATGACTAGAGACATTTATGGTTGTCACAACAGAGGAATGCTCCTGGCATGGAGTAGGTGCAGTGCCTGAGATGGGCTCATGCCAGTGTCCACCCAGCTCCAGTGTCTACCATGCTGACCACAAATTTGGTGTCTGCTGCTGTCAAACCCCAAATACACAGCAACAGTGTCCCAGCCTCACCCTCACACACACTCTTCCACAGGGACGCCTGTGAACCGTATCCCCATCATGGCCAAGCAGGTCCTTGACCTATTCATGCTGTATGTCCTGGTGACAGAGAAGGGAGGCCTTGTAGAGGTCATCAACAAGAAGCTGTGGCGTGAGATCACCAAGGGCCTCAACTTGCCCACATCCATCACCAGCGCTGCCTTCACTCTGCGCACCCAGTGAGTGGCTCTGCTGAGGCTGGGCGGAGGGTGTTCTGAGCAGGGCCACCAGCCAGTGCAAAGGGCCTACAGTAGAAGGACCAAGGAGGCTGGAAGTGGGCAGCTGGGGTGGCCACAGAGGGCACCTGGCCACACCATGAGCCTGAGGCCCCAGAACACTGGGCAGGGGTATGAGGATCATCAGACACTGAGATTACATGATCTAGTATTAAAGGGTCAGCCTAAGTAGTCACGAGGAACAGCATTAATACAGAGGTAACAGTGTGGGCAGAAGCCGAGCAGTTCTGGGAGTTACTGAGCAAGTCTGGGGCAGGAGCTGTGAATGGTGGTGCCATAGTGAGAGTTTTACTTTATTTAGAGGGCCATGGGTAGCCATGGAGGCAGCCCAGGTGCCATCCTGTCCCTTCACTTCTGCCCACAGATACATGAAGTACCTGTACCCCTACGAGTGTGAGAAGCGGGGTCTCAGCAACCCCAATGAGCTCCAGGCAGCCATAGACAGCAACCGGAGAGAGGGCCGGCGCCAGAGCTTCGGAGGCTCCCTGTTTGCCTACTCACCTGGTGGGGCACATGGCATGCTCTCCTCACCCAAGCTGCCTGTGTCCTCCCTGGGCCTGGCTGCCAGCACCAATGGCAGCTCTATCACCCCAGCCCCTAAGATCAAGAAAGGTAAGGGGCTTTGTGGGATCTGGGGCTTGATCCCAACTCAGCATCAGCCTGACTACATGACCTTGTAGAGGATACCTTTTCCTCTTTCTGGGTAACCAGGATGGTACAGCTCAAGGTTGGCATGTAAGAGAGCTTCTCATCTACCAGTGCTCTGCTGATAGAATAGACCACCATTTTCCCCACCTCATGCAGGTGGTGGGCAGACATTGCTAATCTGGTCAATCTGTATATCCATTCCATACCAAGATAAACATTACAAATCAAGTACTATTTCCCAGTCCTGTGGTCATGGCAGATATTATTAATTGATCATTGTTTTTCCTGTTCACCTGAGCCAGACATCATTAATTGAGCACTCTGCCTCCTAATCAATTGTTGTAGCATCATGGCAAACATTACTAATTGGTCCCAGTGGTCTTTTCCCTTTGAGCTTTAGACTCAACACAAGCCCTGCAGACACACAAAAATATAATACAGACCAAGTGCAGTGGCTCACCCTGTAATCCTAGCACTCTGGGAGGCCAAGGCCAAAGCTCAACAGTTCAAGACCAGCCTGAGCAAGAGCAAGACTCTGTCTCTACCAAAAATAGAAAAACTAGCTGGGCATAATGGCAGGAGCCTATAGTCTCAGCTACTTGGGAGGCTGAGGCAAGAGGATTACTTGAGTCCAAGAGTTTGAGGCTGCTGTGAGCTATGATGATGCCATAGCACTTAGGATGACAGAGTAAGACTCTTTTTTTTTTTTGAGACAGTCTCACTATGTTCCCCTGGGTAGAGTGCCATGGCATTACAGTTCATAGCAACCTGAAACTCTTGGGCTTAAGCAATTATCTTGCCTCAGCCTCACAAGTAGCTGGCTACAGGCACCTGCCACAACGCCCAGCTATTTTTCTGTTGCAGTTCTCATTGTTACTTAGCTGGCCTGGGCTGGGTTCAAACCCACCAGCCTCAGTGTATGTGGTTGGTGCTGTAACCACTGTGCTACGGGCGCCGAGCCAGTCTTCTTTAAAAAAAAAAAAAAAATAGGGCTGCGCCTGTGGCTCAGTGAGTAGGGTACCGGCCCCACATACCCAGGGTGGTGGGTTCAAACCTGGCCCCAGCCAAACTGCAAGAAAAAAAATAGCCAGGCATTGTGGCGGGCACCTATAGTTCCAGCTCGGGAAGATGAGGCAAAAGAATCACCTAAGCCCCAGGAGTTGGAGGTTGCTGTGAGCTGTGACAATACAGCACTCTACCGAGGGCAACAAAGTGAGACTGTCTCTAAAAAAAATAATAATACAAAACAGATCAGTCAGATTTGCCCTGAGCCATCCCTGAAGCTATTGCTAGGTGCCCTTATGTAGGTCACTGTCCCTTTCTGAGCCTGGATTTACTTGTAAAATGAGGGAAATCCCCTTTTCTGTAGAGTTGGTGGGGAGCGTTTGGTGTATGAAGTGCCCAGTGTGCAGCAGCCTGAGGTTTCTAGATATCTGCAGATACACTTTCATGCAGACTTCTCTAGTCAATCACAGTTTTCACTCCCACTGAGCCTCAGAATCATTCCTAACACAGAAGCACAAACAACACATTGCAGTGTGGCTTCTGTTTGCCTGAGTCCCCATTTCTCATCTGCCATGTGGGCTGGCTGGCAGCTCTCCATTTACTACCATTGGCCTGAGGATCCAATGTGATCCCTCCAGTTACCTGAAACCTAAGGATTGGTTTCACTGACACTAATTCATTGGTCCTCAGTAGGCCTTAGCTTGCCCCCTCCCAGCCTTGAGGAGTCCAGCAATACCCATTAGTGGTTATTAAGCACCCACTGTTTAAGGCCCTATGCTGGAGTAGGGGAGACAGTGCTGAACAAGAGAGAGCAGGTTGTGACCCGGTGGTGCTCATGATAGTGCCAATGACTTCACTGTTGTTGCAGGGGTAGGTCCATACAGTTGGGAAGGCAGGTCAAGGGATGTGGAGGGACATGTGGCTCCTGAGGGGATGACGTTTGAGCTAAAACCTGAGAGCTCTAAAAATTCAAAAGCTTTGGGGGCAGAGGCCACAGCAGCTTCAAAAGTCTGGAATGGGGAGCCCAGCAAGTAGAGAAAGCACCAGGCATAACCATGGGAGGAAGAATGTAGGAATAAGATGCAGCACGTCACAATGGGACCAGTGAGGGGGACCCACAGGGACATTCATTTCAGCTGCATAAGAGGGAGTTGGTAGGAATGCTTCTGCAGTTGGGCTACCCAGGTTTGAATTTCAGCTCTGTGTCCTTGAGGAAGTTATCCATCCTGTCTGAGCCTCGGTCTCCTCGTCTGTAAAATGGGGATAATAAGTGTGTGTAGGGAGACGTGGGGTTTGAAGGGTCCACTGAAATGATTCATTTTGAATGCTCAGATGAAACTTGGTGAACTCTTGTTGAAATTAGTATTATAGGCTTGGTACCTGTAGCTCAAGTGGCTAAAGCGCCAGCCACATACACCAGAGCTGGCGGGTTCGAATCCAGCCCAGGCCTGCCAAAACAACAATGACAACTATAGCCAAAAAATAGCTGGGCATTGTGGTAGGTACCTGTAGTCCCAGCTACTTGGGAGGCTGAGGCAAGAGAATTGCTTAAGCCCAGGAGTTGGAGGTTGCTGTGAGCTGTGATGCCATGACACTCTGCCTAGGGTGACAGCTTGAGGCTCTGTCTCAAAAAAAAAAAAAAGAAGAAGGAAAAGAAATTAGTATTATTATGATTATTATAGTCTATTTCTGTAATACCAGTGCCAGATACTACCATAAAGCTATTTAATAAACACTACCAGATGCTATTATAACTAGTATGGTTAGTATCACCCAAATGGCCAGCATGACCTTGAGTTCTATTAGAAGGGATTTTATAGGCTCGGCGCCTGTGGCTCAGGCGGCTAGGGCGCCAGCCACGTGCACCTAAGGTGGCGGGTTCGAATCCCCAGCCCGGACTCGCCAAACAACAATGATGGCTGCAACCAAAAAATGGCCGGGCGTTGTG